ATGCGGCGCACTGTACTTATCGAACGCGACCGTCTTGCAGGTCGGGAAGTCCGCCACAGAGGCCGACCACGGGGCCAGTCTGTCCAGGCTGCTGCCGCCGAAGCTGAGCGAGGCGCACGCCATCGCGATCCGATTGGACACCGTTGTGGGCGTCTCGACGGCGAGCATGAGGGCCTTGTTCTGCTCACAGGTCCGGCGCAGGGCGTAGAACAGCTCACGTCCGAGGACCTCGTCGCAGACCTCCACGGTCAGTTGGCCGCAGCCGCGCGCCAGGTAGACGTCCAACTCCTCAGCCCGACCCAGTGCCGCCACTGTACCTCGCTGGGCTGCCTTGTCGCCCTGCCGGGCACTGGCGACCCCCTCCAAGGCGTGGAGCATCCTCGCGGTGTTCGCGTCTAATGTCGCCCCGGGCTGCACGAGGCCGAACGGGTCGGCGCCCCCACTGTCCTCTCGAGCCCCAGCGGCGTAGCGCGCTGGCGCTGTGGTCAAACCTGGGGGCAGGCCCAAGTCACTGACGTGCTGGTCGTAGCAGAACAGGGACCTGATGTTTGGGGCCTGGGGGCGGACAACCGGGCCCAACCCAGCCGTGGTAGCTGGGAGGCCGGCGTCCCGCTGTCCGACCGGAAAGGCCGGCAGGGCGATCGCTGGCGAGAGAGGCGGGCGCGCTTCGAACAGGGGCACGCTGTCGGCCGGGGAGGCCGGCGGCCCCTGCGAGCGGTGGCGCTCGGGAGAGAGCTTGAGGAGCCCTTGGAGGCTGCTAGGCGTTGCCTCTGGGGTCTGCGGTCGCGAAGGCACTTGCTGGAGCACCTCCCAACTGCCAATGTGCCCATCAAGCCGTGCGAGTTCCTCGGGCTCGTTCGTCTGCTGCTTGAGGTATTGAGCGTATCGGATGAGGCCGACGAGCACCTGCTGGGCTTCCTCATCGAAGCCGGCAGCCACACTTTGCACTGCTGCTGCATCGCTCGACCCACGGGCCTTCTCCTCCAAGTAGCAGGCCATCATGTCTCCTCCCTCGTCTCCTTGATGACTCTCTCCTGACGCTGGCGCCTCGGAGCTGGCTGCCCGCCCGCCTTCGGCTGACGGCGAACGAGAGCTCCGTCTTGTTGACCCTGAGGGCGGCTTGGGTGAGCTGCTGCGATCGAGCCGCTGCCAGTGGCTGCGCAGCTTGGCGTCCGCCTCGGTGGCCTGCGCTTCGAAGCTCGGGCTGGGCGCCACGCCTCCCTCGGGATGCCACTTGACAAGGCTGACCACCTTCTCCTTGAGCAGCCGCCAGCGAGCCTCGCTGAGTGGGCCGGCTCGACCGCCCACGGGCAGACCATGCCAAGCTGCCAGCTTGTGCCAGACCTTCTCGGGTACGTTGGTCGCCGAGACGCTGATGCCGAGCTCCTCGCACCCCAGGGGTGCGTGGTGGAGCATCTCCTCGATGAACCCTGCGGGCAGGCGCCCGGAGGGCCCCGTGGACGGTGCACGGATGACGCCGTCAGGTTTCACGAGAAAGCGGATGGTGATGCCGGACGGGTCTGCCACCTCGAGCGCCAACGCTCCGTCAAAGTAATCGGCCACTGTGCTGGCCGCGGCGGCGTCGACTGCCTTTCCTCTGAAAATCATCCACTGCGCTCCTTCTGGCCAATGTACCCTCGCCCGTATGATGAAGTGCTGCCCGAGGGGCATGGGTGGCGGAGTAGGCGGCTTGGGGAAGTCTGGAACCGGCGGCGCTTCGAAGCGCGCGCTCGGTGGCCCAGCCGGCGCCGGGACGGGGTCGCCAGGGCTGGAGGGCGCCTCTCGAGCAGAGGTCGTTGGAGCGGAGCGCTCTGGAGTGCGGCTCCGGGCCGGGGTGGCAGCCGCCCGCTCCGGCGTGCGACTCCGCGGTGCGGGGCTCCGACGAGCTCGGCGCCGCAGTCCTGCGAAGAACCCGACCCCTGCTGGGTTGTCGTGGGTCGCACGGGCTGCATCGCCCCCAAGGTGTTGCAGGCAGAGCGGGACCCCCGAGGCCATGCCCACCGCTTCCCGGAAACAGGTCACCTGAGAGCACTTCTCGCCGTAGCGCAGGACCATGTAGATTTGCCGGTGATGCTCACAGAGGCAAGCCGTTGCGCTCCCCTCGCTTGGGAGTGGGAGGTCCGAGGCTCGCACATCCTCCACCAACAGCACAGTGGGGTCCCCGCGCGCAGCGTCCCGACAACCCTCAGGCGCCAGTGGACGCATCTTGCCCTTGATCATGAGCCCCACCTTCACCGCCTCGCAGGGGTTGTCCTCGGCGTCCACCTCGGACTCGGACTCCTGATCAAGTAGTCTTGCCACTGACCCCTGCACGCCAGGCTCCGCATCGCCAGTCTTGTGACGGCGGCGGCGCCGGCGGCAGAGGCATGCGCCACAACATGAGAACCACGAGAGGATGTACAGCAACAACTTGTAGACAAGGCCCGTCCCCCTCCAAAGCCAGACGAAGATTCGGCAGGGGGTGAACTTCGAGTAGTCACCGAGGTCCACAATAGCTTCATTGTCGAGGGCGGCGTACTCCTTGCAGTGCAGCTCGTTCTCGCGACCCTTGCACCCGGTACAGCTTGAGGAACGGCACAGGTGAAGCCAGCGAGGATCCCGCTGCTCCAACTCGCGCCGGAAACTCTTGTCGCTGGCACCCTTCACAGAATCATACTCTACCCACAATCCTTGGCGATTGATACGTTCAGGAGACTTCATGTTGAGCTTGAGCCGGGCAACCCGGTAGTCCACCCTGATCATGAGGTCGTTCTGGCCGCGCTTGGAGCCCCGACCTTCCTTGATGCTCTTGCGGTACCAGTCGGTCGTCGGGTCGGCCCCTGTAGTCGGCCCGTGCCACACCACATCGGTGAGCGGTGGCGCCGCCGGCGGGACCAGCTTGTCGAGCTTGACCTCACCAGGCGTTCGGCGCCTCGGGCAGGGGCAGCACGCCAGCACCAAGCCACAGGTCCAAGCTGCCCAGCTGCAGGGTGCGAAGAGCGTCCTCAGGCTGTGGGCCAAGAGCGCGACCACCCCGGTGCCGGCGAAGACAACCACGAGCCCGGCGATCAGTGGCCACGCGGAGCCGAACAGGGAGAGGCCCATCTGGTCCGCCATGTACAGCACCCAGCCACCATCTGAGCTCAGCCAGCCTCCTGCCTCGCGAGTCGAGAAGGCCGACCTGAAACTCCCCGCGGCCCTGAAGGTACCCCCACCCATCCCCTCGGCGAACCAGTATGTGCGGTTGCCGATGTCCTTCCAGCTGACGCCGAAAAGACCCCAACCTCTGATCCAGGGCGATGGATCCCCATCGGGGGGGTCGGGGGGTGCGCGGGTCGGGCCCTGGGGGGGGGCCAGCCGGCGGCGCCGAGCGCTCGCGCGGCGGGCCCCCTCCGCTGCTCCCTGCGGGCGCAGCATGTCCGCCGATGGAGTGGACCTCGACCGGCAGCGCGCCCACATGCATCGAGGAGTCCATGGGCCCGTCGAGCCAGAACTCCTTCATGTCCACGTTCACCTCGTCGTCGTAGTAGACCTCGGTGTTGGGGGCCTGCCCGTGCGTGAGCTCGGCGCCGACCACTCCCACCACCTCCAGGAAGACGACGAACCAGACGGGCCCCAGCGCGCGTGCGCGCCTCGCCGCCCTTGTCTGGGCTGGAGCGGGAGCCGGCGCTGGCGCGCGCCCGGCTCCCTGCTCGGCGGGGGCGGGCTGCGCCCACGCCACGTGCGCTGCTCCGCCGCCCCCAGGTGCTCCGCGGCTAGCGTGAGCCAGTGCCGCTCGGCACCCGGGCTCGCCACTGCCGCGCAGCTGCGCGACTCGGCCGCGCGGCGCCAGGCGCAGCTCCATGGCTGCGGGCGCCCCCTTCGCGCCCGGACACGGGCGAAGGTCTTCCGGCCCCGTCCCGGGGCCCGGCCTTAGGCCACCTGAGGCCGACCCCCAGCTTGGCCTTGGAAAGGCTTGAGCCGCGGAGCGGCGGTGAAGAGAGAGGGAGAGAGAAAGGGCAAGCAAAGAGGCAAGGGCAGGAGCAAGGGAACCGCAAGTGGAAGCCCGCGCCAGTTCTGGAATCGGGGAGATCCATCAGTTTTACCAAACATCCTATTTCGCCCCTGCGGTCGTCGGGCGTGGCCGCCGCCGCCGCCGCGTCGCCGCCGCCGCCGCCGCCGTCGCTGCGCCGTCGCCGTCCGCCGTCGCCGCGGCCCGCCGTCGCTGCTGCGTCGCCGCCGCTGGCGCCGCCGCTGCCGCCGCGTCGTCGTCGTCGTCGTGTCACGTCGCTTGTTCCTGGCTTCGTGCCGTCTCCTGCGTGGCCCGGCGTCGGTGGTCGCGCGCCTGTGTGTGTTTTTGCTTTGCTTCCCGTTCGCGGGAGTCCACGGTGCTACTGACGCACCCGCACTCGGGCGACCCGACCGAGGGCGATCCGACAGCGCGATCATAGCGCTTGTGAGCAGGCGACCCGCTCGAGGGCGTCCTGTCGTTGGGCTACCCGACCTAGGGAGTCCCAACGGTGCTACAGACGCACCCGAACTCGGGCGACCCGATCGAGGGCGACCCGACAGCGCGACCATAGCGCTTGAGTACAGGCGACCCGCCCGAGGGCGTCCTGTTGTTGGGCTACCCGACCTAGGGAGTCCCAACGGTGCTACAGACGCACTTGCACTCGGGCGACCCGGTCGAGGGCGACCCGACAGCGCGACCATAGGGGACCCGCACGAGGGCGTCTTGTTGCTGGACTACCCGAACGAGGGAGACCCAACGGTGCCACCACCGCACCCGCACAACGGTCCGTAGCGCCGGCTTTGCCGTCGCAAGTGCGCCCGCCCTAGCGCGGGCGACACATGTTCGCCGCCCCAAAGTCGGGCAAGTGTGGTGTCACGTGTTCGTGCATTGTCCCGTGGCGCGCGCGCTCTCGTTGGTCCTGCGTGCTCGCCCGGCTGGACGATTTCGGTCCGTAGTTGTTTCGCTCGAGCGAGTGAATTGCTTACCTTCCCGTCGTGCGCCCTCGTGGTTGGCTCCACTACCGCCTGCCATGTCCGCGCCGCTCCTCGATCTTCTCGAGTCTGGGGTGGGCAGGCACACGAAGCGCGACCGCGCGTGGCTGAAGCCAGTGGTCGAGGTGCTGGCGACCAACGGCGTCGAGAGTCCGGAGGACCTGGTCGAACTCAACGTCAGGGCCGCGACCTTCCAGCCCAACGGGCTGGTCGAGGGCAAAGGTCGCTTTCCTCGAGCGCGCCGTCGCAAGGGCAACCCAGTCCGCCGAGCAGCAGGCAGCTGCCGAGGCCGCGGCGCCAAGCGGTTCACAGGAGCCGGTGAGCGCCCTCCTGCAGGCGCTCCAGGGCGGCCGCAAGCCAGCGGTCCACGTGGACATCGCCGCAGGCCTGGGCGGCGTGACCTTGGCGGGCTTGCCAGCGTCGTGCTGGCCGTCTCCGCAACTGACCGACTGGGCGCAGGGCCAGGTCAAGGCCGCGGAGAGCAGGGGCATCACGAAGCCCTTCCTCTACATGCCGATCAAGAAATTCCTCCCGTACTACGCGGCGGACAAGAGGCAGCCCGACGATCCCGAGGGGGAGCGCGGCGTCGAGCGGTCCTTCGCGCAGGAGATCGCTCGCGGCATCTGCCAGGCGAGGGACCCCGACAAGAAGCAGGGGGACCTGCCGAGCATCCTGCAGCGGTGCGTCGCGTTTGACAGATGGGCAATCGTCGCGGCGCTCACCGGTCAGATGCCGCTCACGGCGTCCATGGCCCACAAGGAGGTCGTGATGCAGCTCGCCCTGTCGGCGCGGGCCAGTGGGCGCACGACCGCGATCGCCGTCCTCTACGACGAGATCGCCCGGCGCGAATGGGCAGACCTTTCAGCGGGCCTGGGCGCCTTCGACGTCGCCGCGGCCGCGCAGTCGCAGAACGCGGCCACCGTGCTCCGGGCGGAGCGCGAGTGCGACGCCCGCGGGTTCCAAGTGGTGCACGACCGAGCTCCAGCGCAGTCGAAGGGCAAGGCAAAGGGCGCCGGCAGGGGCCACAAAGGCGGCAGCGACCACAGCGCCAAGGGCGGCAAGGCCAAGGGCTACGGCAAAGAGCACAAGGGCAAGCCCGCGAACGACTCTCACCGCTGGCAGGGGCATTACTCGTCCGGGAGTGCCGCCAGCGGGGCGCAGGCGCCGGTGACGCCAAGCAAGCGCCAGAAGTGAGAGTGAGGGGCCGCAGCCGCCCCGCCCGACGCGGGGGCAGCACTCCCCGCGCACCCTGCGCAGTCAGCCGCGGAGCCAGTGAGGGTCCAGTCAGGTGCAGTTCTCCCCAACACATCCTGCGCTGATCTGAGTTGCTTCCAGTCGGCATTCGACGCTGCCAGCGCGCAAGCTCTGCACGGCGAATTAGCGCCCGATGAGGTCGAGGCGCTGCGTTTCACGCGTGAGGCGCTCGGCCGCCGCGACGCGCAGCCGAAGCGCACGGACGTGCAGTGCGAGTGCATGGAAGCGTTGCGGTGGAGCGCCGCGCGTAGCCTACGCCAGCGCATCAAAGAACGCGAGGAGCGCGTTCGGCGCATCGAAGCCCGGGCGGCGCACTTCGAGGCGTCCGGGGAGGCCGAGGCCGCGAGAAAGGCTGCGCCACCGGAATTCAGGCCGCTTATCGCAGGCGTCAACATTCCACTTTTAAAGGAATTGGCGCGTGAGTCTGAGTGGCACGACGCAGAGTGCATCGACTTCTTCTCGCGAGGCGCCCCTCTGTTGGGTAACCTAGAATGCAGCGGCAACGGTCGCGCGCTCAGCCCGGAAGAGCGCGCGGGCGACACTAGCGCTGAGGTAGCCCGTTTGCGTGCCAGCGCGCTCGCGTGCAACGACTTGATACTTGCATCAATTCGCGAGGATCCCCTCGCCAGCGAGCTGCTCCGTAAGACGCGGGAGGAGGCGGACTTGGGTAGGATGTCTCCGCCGCGGGCTTTTAGGCCCGACATCTCCGCGGCCGAGCTTGCCGCTGCTTGGGGCGAAACAATTCGTCTGGTGCCCAGGTTTGGGGTCTCGCAACCGAAGCCCGACGGGTCGCTGAAAGTGCGCCCGGTGGATGACTTCACGCGCTCCAGGGTGAACGGCGCGTGCGCTCCCGCCGAGAAATTAAGCGTAGAGGGCGCGGACCAGCTGGTAGCGGTCGCGCGCGCCTTCTTCGAGTTGCACGGCGCACTTCCCGAGCTGTGGAAAGCGGACATAGATTCCGCTTACCGCCGCATCCCGTTGGCCCCCGCCGATAGGTGGGCCGCTGTCAGTGTTTTCAAGGAGGGCGGCCGCCTGTGGTGCTCGCAGCACCTGGTCTGCCCGTTCGGCGCGCTAGCATCTTGCCACGACTGGGACCGCGTGGCCGCCATGCTCTCGCACTTCGCAAGGCGGCTCGCCAAGCTGCCAGTTTCGCGATACGTAGACGATTATTTTGCGCCGGATCGCCCCGGCGCGGCCGACCACGCCATGCGGTGCTTCGCTCGCATCGTCAGAGCCGCGCTCGGCAGCGACGCAGTAGCCGACGCGAAGCTGGCGCACGGGGCCCAGTTGGTCGTGTTGGGGCTGCTCTCTCTTTCTGTGCGCAGGGCGTACGCTGCGAGCCAGCGTGCGACAAGCGGCTCAAGTGGTCGTCCGCCATCCGGCATGCTTTAGAGTGCGGCACGTTGCACCAGGGCGCTGCGAAGAAACTCGCGGGCGCTCTCGCACGGGCCGCGCAGCACTTGTTTAAGCGCTTGGGCAGAGCAATGCTCCGCCCACTCTTCGCGCACCAGCACAAGCGCTCCAATCGTATCGGGCGGCCTCTCGAGCTCGCGCTGCACTGGTGGGCCCAAGTGCTCGAGCTCAGGCTGCGCGAAGTGGCCAGCTGGGAGCAAGGGGACATGCCCGCGGCACGCATGTTCTGCGACGCGCGGAGCACGCCCCCTCGCGCCGCCGCCGTGGTTTTTTATAGACGGCGAAATCCTGTTTGCCGAGTGCGCACCCGACGCAGCTCTGACGCGGAATTTCAAGCACAGACGCGACGGCCGGATTATGGGCCTCGAGGTCTTGGCGGTCGCATTAGGCTTGTCGTCTTTTGAAGAGCGACTGGCAGATCGGGCGCTGGAAGTGTTCTCGGACAATTCGGGGGCCGAGAGGTCAGTGGCGCGCGCGAGCGCCCGGGACTGGGATCACACAGTCCTCGTCCACGGCGTTGGGTCTCTCGCGGCTCGCATGTCCCTGTCGATGTGGGTGCACCGCGTCCCGTCCAAAAGCAACATCTCGGACGGGCCGTCCCGCGAGGTCTACAGTCTCTTGCACCTGCTCGGCGCGCGCCAGGTGCCAGCGGCACTCGATGCGCGGTTTCGCGCAGCCGAGGCCTGAGAGGCGCTGTGGCTCTGAGCAAAAAGAGGGAGGGCTCTCATCGTCTGTCGCTTCCCTGCATCATCGGTTGCATCCGCGTGCAGGTTGGGCGCCGCGCTGGGAGCGCCGGGCGTCTTCCGCTCCGCGTCCGCGCGCTCCGCTCGCGCCCGCCCCCCCCTTCCCCCGCCCTTCCCTTCCGCCCTTCGCCCCCCCCCCACCCCCCTCCTCCTCCTCCCCGCGCCCCCCCCGGTCGTGCGCCGCCACTGCAGCCAGCGCCGGTCGCGCGGCGAGGGGGGGGCGTTCCTGCTCGGCCGCGTGTCGCGGTTCCGATCTTTTGTCGTCTGGTGGCATGGATGTGACGCGCTTGGCGCTTGGACTGCGCAGGGCGGGCGTGCCTGGCGATCCGGCCATCGCGCGCGCCGCCAGGCTCAGTCGCTCGTTTTCGCGCGCAGGCAATGATGTGGAAGTTGATCTGATTGCGAATGTACTGGTCGCGAACGGTTTCGAACACGTCGCTGACGCACGCGGCGCAAAGTGGGGGCGCGTAGCAGGTTTTGAGCGTTTCTCCGCAGACGCCCAAGCGCGCTTGCGTGAGATCGCGGCGGGAGTTCCGCGGCCGCCGAGCGGGCCGCCTCCAGCGCCGTCCCGTGTGCTGAAACAACCGGCGCTCGCGCGCGGCGGCCCGGGCGCGCTCGCGCCGGGTGCCGCGCGCGACAGCGCGGCGAAGCGAGAGCTGGCGCGCGCTTACAGGGCCGTGTGCAGCGTGCAATTGTCACCCGTGCCCGCGGGCGGCCCTCGCAAGTCCATCGCGAGCGGCGCTCGCGGGCCCCCGTCGCCAGTGGCCATGCAGGAAAGCCTGGCCCGCGCACGAGCTGTGGCAATCGTCGGCTCGGCGCCGCGTTCCTTCGGGCCCTGGAGGGCTGCGGTCCGGGCGTGGGTGGCTTTCGCGCAGCGTCGCCTCAACAAAGACGGCTGCAGCGCACTGCCGCCGTCGGCCGACGAGGCGTGCTTGTTCGCGCTCGAATTTCGCAACCCGCGCACCCTCGGCAATTACGTGGCACAGCTTAAGAAGGCATGCCAGTTGTTGGGCCGGGACGCGTCGGCCTTTTCGCATCCTGCGGTTCGGGGCGCCCGCGAGGCCATCGGGAAGCGGCGCCCCGTGAGGCGGCCGCTGAAGTGTTTCGTCCTGCTCTCGCACTTATCGGCTATGCTCGACTGTGTAAGTGCCGACGGCGCGATGCGCGCGCTCTTCTCGGTGTCCTGGGGGTTCGCTCTGCGCGTGCCCTCCGAGGCCCTCTTGATTGAGCGAGGCGACCCATCGGCATTTAAGGACTTCGCCTTCTCTGACGAAGACCTGCGAAGGCCAGTCGCAAGAGTCGTCATCTTCTTGTCGGGCGATTCTGCAACGTTGCATTTCTCGCGGCGTAAGCGCCGCGACGGCCCGACGGTCGCGGTGCGGAATTGCTGGTGCAAACATTCGCGTGCGACTTGCATTGTGCACGCGGCGCGTAGTTTTTTCGAGGGCATTTGCGTCGGCTCGCCCGCGTTCCCGCATATGCGGCGAGTCGACGGCAGCGGCGTCGTCTCAATCGCCGTGCCCGCGCAGCGCGCGATCAAGGCGGCGGCGCGGCGCGCCGGCGCACCAAGCGCGGCTTCTTTTACGAGCAACGCGTTCCGCCGCGGGCACGCGGAGACTAGGCGGAGGTGCAACGGTCGCCTTTTGTGAGATCCTCCGCGGTGCCGATTGGAGCTCCCGCGCTTTCAAAGAATACCTTGATATGCACCAGCGCGAGGGCGATGCGACCGCCGAAGCAGTGGCCGCAGCCTCGTGCCCAAGCGCCGGCGCGGCGAGCAGGCCAGGTTCTGCGTCGGTGCCTGCGGGGTAAATCAGCCAGGCTCACGATCGGCGCGCACTGCGACCTGCACCCGGGGTTCCATTGGGTCGCGGCAGGCCTGGCGCGCCCCGACCAGGCGAGCCTGGGCGCTTGCGCGCCCAGGCTGGCCTGGTCGGGGACTGTGCGCGTCACCGAAAGCACCCCCCGCGCGGGGTGCTCGCGGGGCGGCGGCCCTGGCTCGGTCGCCGCACCCATCGTTGGGGCGTTGGCGCCCGAGGTCGGGTACACAAGGAAGGTGCGCCGAGATTTGCCGGGGGCGCGCGCCCGTAGGGTGCTGCGCGGGCACGAATCGCAGGTCGGCCGACGGGCCCTGCGGCGCCGCGGCGCGTGCGACGCGCGCCGCATGCAGCCCGACCGCAGCGCGCGCCGCCCGCGGTCGCGTCTTTGCTCTTCTGCGTTGTTTCGCGCGGGCCTGCCGCGGTCGCTCGCGCAGGCGCGCCGCGGGGATCGCGCGCTGGGCGGATCGCGGCGCGCCTTGGCGATGCTCGCTTCGCAGGTTGTCGATTATTGATTTGGGCACCGCGCTCGTGCGGCGCTCGCGCGGCGCGGGCCCGTCGGCCGTTCTGCCCCACCCACCCGCTCCTGGGTGCGGGGCTGCCTCGGTCGTTGGCTGCCCCTTGTCCGCCTCTCCCGCCCGCCCTGGGGATCAACGCCCAGGCTGGCCTGGTCGGGGACTGCGCGCGTCACCGAAAGCACCCCCCACGCGGGGTGCTCGCGGGGCGGCGGCCCTGGCTCGGTCGCCGCACCCGTCGTTGGGGCGTTGGCGCCCGAGGTCGGGTACACAAGGAAGGTGCGCCGAGATTTGTGGACGTCCGTCTCCTGCGGGTGCCGTGTGTACGCGTGCGGCTGCGCGCGCATCATGTGGTTGCCGTGTGATGCGTCGTGCCGCCCGCCTGATGTGCGGATTGTTGTTTTTTCCCAACCCTCCTTGGTTGGGTATTCGTTTTTGAATAGAGCAGTGTGGTCGCGTCCTTCCTCCTCCCGCCCCCCGCCTCCCGCCTCTTCCTGTCTTGCTTGCGGGGGGCTGCGATCTGTGAAACTGTCGCCACTTTCGAGGCCTGCTGGGGGGCCCAGCACAGTGAGGGCCACGGGCGGACCCAAACTAGACCTCGCCATCCCTGGGGGGCTGCGATCTGCGAAACTGTCGCCATTTTCGAGGCCTGCTGGGGGGCCCAGCACAGTGAGGGCCACGGGCGGACCCAATCGCCATCACTGGGGTGCTGCGATTTGTGAAACTGTCGCCACTTTCGAGGCCTGCTGGGGGGCCCAGCGCAGTGAGGGCCACGGGCGGACCCAAATTAGACCTCGCCGTCCCTGGGGGGCCGCGATCTGCGAAACTGTCGCCATTTTCGAGGCCTGCTGGGGGGCCCAGCACAGTGAGGGCCACGGGCGGACCCAAATTAGACCTCGCCTCGGCTGCGATCTGCGAAACTGTCGCCATTTTCGAGGCCTGCTGGGGGGCCCAGCACAGTGAGGGCCACGCGCGGATTCAAATTAGACCTCGCCATCCCTGGGGGGCTGCGATCTGCGAAACTGTCGCCATTTTCGAGGCCTGCTGGGGGGCCCAGCACAGTGAGGGCCACGCGCGGATTCAAATTAGACCTCGCCATCCCTGGGGGGCTGCGATCTGCGAAACTGTCGCCATTTTCGAGGCCTGCTGGGGGGCCCAGCACAGTGAGGGCCACGCGCGGATTCAAATTAGACCTCGCCATCCCTGGGGGGCTGCGATCTGCGAAACTGTCGCCATTTTCGAGGCCTGCTGGGGGGCCCAGCACAGTGAGGGCCACGCGCGGATTCAAATTAGACCTCGCCATCCCTGGGGGGCTGCGATCTGCGAAACTGTCGCCATTTTCGAGGCCTGCTGGGGGGCCCAGCACAGTGAGGGCCAGGGGCGGACCCAAATTAGACCTCGCCATCCCTGGGGGGCTGCGATCTGCGAAACTGTCGCCATTTTCGAGGCCTGCTGGGGGGCCCAGCACAGTGAGGGCCACGCGCGATTCAAATTAGACCTCGCCATCCCTGGGGGGCTGCGATCTGCGAAACTGTCGCCATTTTCGAGGCCTGCTGGGGGGCCCAGCACAGTGAGGGCCACGCGCGGATTCAAATTAGACCTCGCCATCCCTGGGGGGCTGCGATCTGCGAACCTGTTGCCACTGTCGAGGCCTGCTGTGATCTCCGTTTTCGAAGTGGCTAGGAGTGCTCAGGAATTGTAAATCATCAGCTTTATCAAGCCCTTTTCCTGTAGCCAGTGTCCTGCGAGTCTCCCGAATTCCGTCTGCAGACATATGTAACCCTCGCTCCGTCATCGCCCCCTTATAAAGTATCCTTTACTATTTGCGCCCCGCTTTTGCGCAGGGGTTGGGTACGTCGCCAGGGTAATTGTTCCCAACCCTCCTTGGTTGGGTATTCGTTTTGAATGGAGCAGTGTGGTCGCGTCCCTCCCCCCTCCCTTCCTCCTTTTCCCATCCCGCCTCTTCCTGTCTTGCCCGCGGGGGGCTGCGATCTGTGAAGCTGTCGCAATTTTCGAGGCCTGCTGGGGGGCCCAGCACAGTGAGGGCCACGGGCGGATCCAAATTAGACCTCGCCATCCCTGGGGGGGTGCGATCTGTGAAACTGTCGCCATTTTCGAGGCTTGCTGGGGGGCCCAGCACAGTGAGGGCCACGCGCGGATTCAAATTAGACCTCGCCATCCCTGGGGGGCTGCGATCTGCGAAACTGTCGCCATTTTCGAGGCCTGCTGGGGGGCCCAGCACAGTGAGGGCCACGCGCGGATTCAAATTAGACCTCGCCATCCCTGGGGGGCTGCGATCTGCGAAACTGTCGCCATTTTCGAGGCCTGCTGGGGGGCCCAGCACAGTGAGGGCCACGCGCGGATTCAAATTAGACCTCGCCATCCCTGGGGGGCTGCGATCTGCGAAACTGTCGCCATTTTCGAGGCCTGCTGGGGGGCCCAGCACAGTGAGGGCCACGCGCGGATTCAAATTAGACCTCGCCATCCCTGGGGGGCTGCGATCTGCGAAACTGTCGCCATTTTCGAGGCCTGCTGGGGGGCCCAGCACAGTGAGGGCCACGCGCGGATTCAAATTAGACCTCGCCATCCCTGGGGGGCTGCGATCTGCGAAACTG